TACTTCCTTGTGATACTCTTCTTCCTAATTCTGTGCCTTCTGACTGATTTTTGACTTTCATGACTTTTTTGTTGCCAGTACAGCCTGCCAATTATACAAACATCTGTTTAATCAAAAAGCTTTATTTACCAGCCAGGCCATGAATTTGCCCTCATGAACTTTACCAAAAGCTTTCTCACAGTTGGTAACATAAATATACACATACTTATTCATATCACAATATTTTTCCCCCAGATATTTCTATGCAGAATAATGATTCCCTGACTCCTTCTCTGAATCCAAATTGTGCACTTTCATCCTTACCTCATACTTCTGGTACATTCTGTCAACATTTGTATCTAAAAATGCAAAATCATATAGGTGGATTTTTATTTTTGCACAAGTAGCCAATGTATCTTGCTTAATGTTAGTATTTGCTGTTAAATGCGCTTACTGTAACTTCTCAATTAAGGTAATTACGTGTGAAAGCCATTTGCGGAATCAAGGTTTATTTTCCGTTTATTTTTGGAATGCCTCATTTCCATTTTATTATCGCTTTCTGGCCCACATGTGATAACGTCCAAATAAAAGCAAACGCACTGGCTTGGGAGCAGTCCCTGTCGCATGTGTCTGCAATCACTGCAGCAGCCACTGCTGGTCCAGGACTCTCATTCCCAGCATGCTCCTTCACTCCACCTCCCTGCCCTATTGCTTTACCAATTTGCCTTGGGTTTTTTATCTTTATTTTTCTCTTTTTTACACAATTTAGGCATTATGGCAATGGAATTTAGGTGCGTGGGAAGAAAATAATGTTTTTCAGAAAGAAAACAGGTTGCTTGGGAATAGTGGGGGGAAGACGGAGTGAGGAAGAGGAGGAGACTTACACTACATGACAGCCCAATACTGGGACTGCAGCCTAGACATTAGCACAGACAAATCTACTATTAAGCAACAATATTGGCAGCAGTTGATGGGGAAAGCCCATCAATCAAAAGTTGTGCAATAGGCATGGATGGAGGACAGGCCAGCTACAACTGAGCCATGTGCCATCTGATAAAGTTTGTCTATAGACACATCTATTCTACCTTCATTCCACTTTTTAGGCTTGTGTGATAATCTCCTATGATTCCAGACCCTTTGAGGGTTTTTCTTTGGTAGTTTCTACTCCCTGGGGGCATAACTTGCCCTCCCAAGCCCACCACACTTGTTCACATCTTCTTTAAGTAATGGTGACCTGAATTGACTAATGGCCTGACTTCTCATGTTCCATTTTGCCATGCTTGCCCCCACAAATAACCCAAACTCTGGTCACAATACTACTTCACTACCCCCCATTCGCTTTTCAGTCCCTGAATTTCTGGACCATTTTGGACAAGCTCTCTTGTCTGTCTCAGTCTTCTATATAATCCACATGGATTTAGGGAGACTGGCTTCAGACAGGATTTAATTGTTGATGCTGATTCCAGCCTAGCTGTCTATTGATGCTGTTTGGTACCATCATTATCACTCTGGTCCTCCATTGCCTGGAACAATCATATCACCCACTATGCTCTGCAGATAAATATGACCATTGTACTTCTAAGCATGGCTGTATTTGACATAGACCCCAGTGGTAGAACACAATACTTTTTATAGCCGAAATGGAGGGGAAAGGACAGTTTTCCCACATTTAATCACTCTCCAGTGTTATTGTTTTCTTCTGAGAGGTATTTTTGTGAGAGCTGGAAAGAGGTTGTAAATTTTTTGTTCTTTTACAGAAGCAAACTTTATTTCAGCCTGCAGACAGCAAATCCAGTGTCGGCACACTAGTCTGATATGCAAAGCTCTCTGCATACAGATTTGGCATCTTGTTTGCAGTAAGTATTTTCAGCCCAACAAGAGACAAGGGCTCTGCAGCAACTCATGAAATCTCATGGGATTTAACAAATAAACATCTTAGTTGTACAAGATTCAACCACAATGGAAAAAACAACAACAGAGAGCAATATTGTTTTTTTTAAAAGAAAACACAACACAGTTTCAGTCATTTTGTGCTGTGTGGCTGTAAACAATAAGGCACTCATGTAAAATTGTTTACTGCATTTTTGAAGAGGTTTGACTCTGCCTTCCTGTTCATTGGTGAAAATTTAGTAGATGCTGGAGCAGGAGTGGAAAATTTGTAGCCCTCCACATGTTGTTGAATTTCTGTCATCCCCTGTTAACATGGCCGAGGGTCAGAGGTAACTGTAGTTCAGCAAGTTCTGGAAGACCACAAGTTCTTTGTCTCTGCATTTGAGTAATAACACTGCAGCAAGGCAAACATATATTTCAAACCATTCATCCACTTTGCTCACTAATTCTAGACATTTGGGGGGTTGCAGACTGTCAAAAATAGTGTGAATTCAGTCCACTTTTAGGGTTAGGGTTAAGGTTAGGGAATCATGGGAACTGAATTTTATTGTGGCACTAGAGTTCTCTGACAAAGAAGGTTCAATGTCTCAGAAAAATAACAATTCCCATGATTCCCTAGCACTAACCCTAACCCTAAAAGTGGACTGAATTCACACTATTTTTGACAGTCTGCAACCCCTAATTTGTTGGCTAATTTTTTTTCCCTTCACACTTGCTTGTGTGGAGATCTCACACACTTTCTCCTGTTGATTCTCCCATCATTCGCTAACTCACTAGTGTGGACATTGGCAATGTATGTATGGGAAGGATGGAGTGTGTGAGATCTCCACATGGGTGAGCAAGTGAATGGTCGATGGGGGGAAGGAAAGAGAGAATGTGTAGGCTCAGTTCACTGAAATAAAAACAAAGATGACAACACTGTTCAGATGAGGGAATGATTGGAGATGGGGCAGAATAAAAACAGTAAAAAACAAATGCAACACTAGGCCAGGGGAGGAAGAGAGAGGGGATATTCCAATCTAAGCCCTCACTGCTGATCTCATGGCTGCACATTCCCATACATAAAAGATGAATGATTTTTTTTCTTTCTCTGTCATGTGTGTGTATGTGTATATACATTTAAAATTCCCTTCCTCACTCACTGAGCCAGCAAAGGGGGGGAAATAGATTGGATAGACAGAGATCTAATCAGAGTGCAAGGTGGTCTATATTGACAGGCAAATAGTAACAGCTATTAGTTGATAGGTGGATGCATGCTGGGAAGGCAAAAAACTGGAGCGAAGTGAGTTTGCCAGAGGAAAATGTGTTGGCGGATAGGCCGATTTCAGCTCACTGTGTCTGTTTGTGTGTGGCATTAATGGGTCACTCTGGGGTCATCGCAGGTCATGAAAATGACAGGTGAGGCCAATTTTTTGGACAGTGTATACAACTCCCTGGAAACATTTTATTATTTGCCACATTGAAACAATCAGACAAATGGCTATTGACAAAAAATAAAATAAAAGATTTTATAGTTGTTAAAAACAAAATAGGCTCATAAAACTGATTAAATAGTTACTCTACTGTAATTATTGGTGGATCCAGAGCATCTCAGGGTTCATACCAGTGATTTTCTGGCAGTAATCCTAAGGGCATTTGTGAAATTCCCATTGGAAGCTTATCTCTGAGTAAACATGGTAAGGATATGATTCTCAGTCATAGGTGAAAATAAAGCACAATTGCATGCTGTAAGGTAATTGTACAAAACACAGAATGTGCCATAGGCAATAAACATGAATAAAAGGGTTACAGATTATTATAAGGTAGATGAAATTTGAAGCTTACTTTTCCCAAACAGTAAATGAGGAAGTATTAATAAACATGGATGGACGGCAGATATAAGATGCTTTTACTTTTTTAAAAATTCCCTGCACCTAGAAGACTAGTGTGTCAGGGACAAGGGCAGTTGTCTGGGATACCTTCCCTTAATATCTAGTTTTCTATGTGCAAAGAATAGGAAATGGGGAGAAAATCTCAGAGGCAAGAAATGTTATTTTGGGGACCACAGTCTCTGGAGTCCCTTGTTAGCTCAGTGATTTTTAGAACTGAAAAAAGAAAAGAAAAAGAAAAGGAAAGGAAAAAACGAAATAACTTTCTCAGCCTCTGTGAAATCCCATCCTCTGAGGACCTTTCTTTGCAATGGAAGCGTTGTCATCCAGGTACAGGTTGGCTACCTTATTTGCCATTTATCGGAAGTAGGCTCAGTTTGGTCTGGTCCCAAAGAGCCACAAGATCAACCCTATATTCAAGGGAGCTGTGATTACAGAAGAACCAAATCCATATGCTACATGAAACCCACTGGGTGATCTTGGGCAAGTCACATACTCTCAACCTCAGGGGATGTCAATGGCAAACCTCCTTTGAACAAATCTTGCCAAGAAAACCCCATGATAGGTTCACCTTAGGGTCTCCATAAGTTAGAAATGACTTGAAGGCACACAACAACAGCAACAACAACGAAGTCTTTTTTTTTTTTAATGGAAGGATTTTTCAAAAGCTAGTTTGTGGTATGGTAGGTTGGATGTTTAATTTTTTAAAATAATAATTATTATTTTTTGGATGAGGAGGGTTTTGCCTTTCAAAGGAATAAAGAATAAGGTCCCATTGACCATGAGATGGAGGTGCATCTGAAATAGTTCTTTGAATGCTGCTGTTTATATTTTTGTGTGTATACCAAACATCTGTTTGATCCAGTTGTTATACTGA